ACAAAATTCATTTAACTGGCAGAAAAAGTTGATCTAAATAAACATAAATGTAGTTATCAAAAAGTTAACATATCAAAACAATATATAAAACCTCTATGTCAACTTGACATAGAATTGAACTTGAATTCAGTTCTGTGAATCCCAATCTGAGATTTAGTTCTGAAACTAAAGTGTACAATCCTCTTTCTTGTAGGTCCCTCTGTAGATCTGAGAGCTACCCTCAGACTAATAGTATCCAGATCAGGCGTATCCTCTAAATTCCCAGAATTCCTCTCTGGCATAGCTTTAAAATCTGGAAAGTAGAACACTAAAACCTATAAAGCATTCTAGATTAGAGAAAAATTTTGCAGACATTTTTCTTTTCCCAATCTGACCTATTATGGCCAGCTTTATGGGCAGTAAATATGCATTTAGATATTAGATATTTAGATATTAGTTATCAATATCATTTTGATTATTAGATATTATTTAGAGGGGCTCAATACATTTTCTAAAGCACCAGACAGCAAGAGAAGAAACAATGGATGGAAACTAATCAACGAGAGAAGCAATTTAGAACTAAGGACAAATTTCTTAACTGTGGGAACAATTAACCACTGGAGTGGTTTGCCTTCAGAAGTTGTGGGTGCTCCATCACTGGAGCCTTTTAAGAAGAGACTGGACAGACAGACAGTCTGAAATGATGTAGGATCTCCTGTTGGGGCAGGGATTGGATTAGAAGACCTCCAAGGTCCCTTCTAACTATGTTGTTCTGTTATTTGCTTACAGTTTAAAAAATTTGTTGATGCTTGCAGATCTTCCTGCGCACTGAGATCAGTTTTTGAATTGGTTGCCTCTAGTTTGGGCCTCTTATCAATGAACCAACAGAAAAGAGGGGATTGTTAATAAGTTCTGTATCATTTGCATCACCGAAACAGTGTGAGAGTCAGCTTTAATTGGGTACCATTTTTGGAAGTCTGTTTCCTTTTCTTTTCAGAAAACCGTCCATGAGATGTGGTGCTATTTTTAGAAGAAAGTTCTAGGCAGCAGATCAAAATGTTTGTCTCCAGTTGCATTAAAGGCAATATATTTTGTTTTAAAATTTAGAAGCCCATTTTCCCCTCCTCCTCCTATATATATTTCTTCTGTCCTGCCATTTAATCAGTGGTTGCATGGAGGATTGGTTTTTCTGGCACAGTAGTGAGCTTTGTGAATGCTCATACTTCAACATGCGCTGAGATGGATCTCAAATTGCCATTTCCTCCTCCGGTCCACATTTGGCAAATTTTCTAGATTACTGTAAAGTCACAATTGCCATGTTGGTGCATTCACAAGACCTGCCTTTCACATTGCCTAAGGAATCAACTCAGCTCACTTTGTGTTTGCAAGATAACACTATCATATAAGAAAAACAATCCCATGAATGGGCTTCTTGTTTTCTTAATGGGACGCATCAGACACGTGGGTTTGCATTTTCACACAATCATGCAAATCCAATCCCTGCTTTGAATCTTCCAGACAAACAAATAATTGTAATAGCAATGCGCCATTTTAGGTGTGGCTCATAAAATACCGCCACTGAAATGGCAGAAATTAAAATTGCCGCCATTGGAGTATACTCCAGAGTATATGAAAGGTTCCCAAATGACCAGATGGGAGATATTTTCTCTTTTTGAACCATATGTAAAAAATTTAGCTTAAGAATTTTTATATTTTGGTCTTCCAACCTTTGTCTTTTTTAGAATTTTCCTCTCATTCCGAAAGGATGATTAGTCCCAGTATTAAAATGCAATATGCTAAAATTTATAATTATGTATAAACACTTTGGACTGCCATTTTATTTTAATTATTTTCAATTTTTGTCTCACAGACAAACAGAACAAACAGCGAAATACCGGGAGGAATTAAGAACAGTATCTTACGAACACATATAACTATTACTAAGTTTGCTAAAGACAAGCAATAGAAGGAAGGAAGCCTGTCCTGCAAAAAAGGCAGCTCAACTTTCTGTGCCCCACATTTAGTAAAGTCAGACTTGGTCAGATGGTTCAACAGACAATCTCGTACCGTCTACTTTAATGGCTATTGCACTCTGGTTTGTTTGTTTTCAACCCAAAGGAATGATTCTGTGAGAGGTTTTACATGAACATCCTGATCTATATGCTTAAATTGTTTCTTTTCCATCCTAGGTCCTAAATAGGATAGTCTGAAACAAAATTGAATGGGGCACTGGGCACGCAGTGTTCAAGATCAGTAAGATAAATGGCACTCTAGATTTTCCAAGGCAGAGCTCTTTGTATGTGCACATTTATCAATCTTGACCAAAGATCAAATTCTCTAGGAATCAGTTTGCGGCACCCAGGATTTAATTAAATTTCTAAAGGGTTTGATAGCTGGGAAGGCCAGAGGAGACGGAAGAGAAAAATGCATATGCTTAATTAATCTCTGCTTACTGCTACAAATCATGTCCAGTGTATTATATACAAACTAATAAATTTGTGTTCTAATCCAACTTTCTGTTGGATGGAAACAAAGGAATTTATTGAATATTTCCTTGGAAGTTATTGTAATGAGAATTTGCAATATATAGAATATACCATATACATAATAATATACATAAGTATTTGCTCAGGATTCACTCTTATTCATATTCATGGTTGATTTATTTATGTCCATATTAAAAAGGGACAGGAAAACTACAGATCATTTAAGGAGCAGAGAATGTTCTGAATCAGTGAAATGAAAGAAGAACTGGCAACAGTAGCTGTAGTAATACTATACATGAAGTATTAAAAATTCTACTTCAACTCTTTGGAGTGCTCATGAAGCACAGGAAATTTGAATTTCTCTGTCTTGATCAAGATGGTGGCAGCGACATTACCGCCAAGAGAAACTAAATTGGAACAAGCTACTGGACTGCAGCAAAGGAAGAAACTCAGCACAGAGATGGTATTGATTCTTTTTTCTTTCCCCATGGTAGATAATAAGATTTCACCAAGATACGTCTGGTGCTTGCTAAGTGAGGACTATTAATGTGCAAAAAGGTTGCTCTGGAGTACATAATACAATTATTTAAACTGGGAGAAGGCAGTTGAATGAACGCCGCCATCAACATGTGTTTTCTCAAAAAGATAGCAATGAGGAAAGGGAGAGTGAATTTAATATTCACTCATAGACCAACTGGATCCTTAGCAGATTTGAGCATTAATATCAGGAAGATACCAATAGCCTTTGCTCACCCCTACATATAGTAAAATTCTCTGTACATTTTTGTATAAGTTTCATTCTTCAGTGCCATGCAAAGCAGGAATTAATGGGAAATGGGATGGGAGAGACCGCTGTCCAAGGCAGGGCAGTGGTGATTCATTTGCACTCTCGCTAAGTGCCAAAGTCAGTGGAAAATACCAAGCCGTGCCACACCCAAGGATTATATTCAAACCACTAGGCTATATTCTCTTTAGAGAATTTATACAAGGTGAGACCCCATCCCCAAATATCACTGAGGCAGAAAATCCAACTAGTATCACACATGTGAACATAAGTATTGTTGGCTTCTCCAGTGGAAGCTTTGAAGCTACTGTGATATTACAAAGCTTCTGTTTATTTCACTCCTGTATGTTTTATTTCCCATCAACACTAGGTTTTCACTGTTCCACTGTAGGGTCATTTTTACAGTTACGGCTTTAATTTCCATTTAACCTGGGTCTCTTCAGTACATGTCATTTCTGCAGCTTAGAGATTATGATTCACATTCCTGTAGCAGGATTCTGATAAGCTTTCACTGCTGTCCTTTTGCTGTATTCTTTGTTTACTGCCTCTTTTACTCTGCTTCCACAAACCTGGCCACTTCAGCCGTAAAAAGGCACATACATTTGAGAATGGTGAATTGAAAGCATCAACTCTGTCTGCCTATTGGATCAGCTTTGTAACCTGATCTGAAGTTCTGGGTAGGGGTTCCTTTCACCTCTTGAGGCTAAACAGGGGAGGGGAGCTGGTCCTAAATAAAATTAAATATCCATGTCGGAAGGCAATTTTTTCATGAAAAGCTGCATTAAAAGATTGTGTGGAAGGAAGGAAAGAGCACACAATTGCAGGTAAATTGCTTTGCCTGGCAGATGTATTATTCATCGTGATTTATCAACCAGTATTCTGCCAGTGCTACTAGCCACCATGGTCTCGTCATTCAATACCCAAATATCAAAGTTAAAGTGAGCACATGCAGCTTATCTTGTGTTCCCTCCAAACAAAATAAAATGGGGAGGGAGGTTATTACTTGGTGAAGCCAAGGAGGCAAAGGAAAAGCAAGTTTTTGTAGAGAAAGGTATGTTCTCCTGTATGAAGATTTCTTATTTTTTGAAGAGATTTTGAGTGACACGGAGAACAGAATCTAGCTGCCATTGATCTTGGGTTCCCCGTGCTGATTGCCATTGAATAGCCTCCCATTCCTTTCTGACTCCCCCATTTGTACCATTCATCATGGGCTACACATACAAATACAGTGATTCCCCAATAATCTTGGCCTGGGTTATTTAGATACAATATGTTACAACTATTTGTAAATAGGGATATATGAAAATTGGTCTCTCGGAGAAACCAGACAGTACAATAATACCATGCCCAACTTTATTCCCGCACAAATGCAAGTTAGCTCTTAGAGACTCATGCACTGAGAGACAAACGCTGTACAGAATCGGACCACTTAGGAAAGACTTTTTTTTAAGCAAAGGAAAATGGATGTGGTTTTCCTCTTCCATTTGAGACAATGGGGAATGTGATGTATTGTACAATTTGATCATCATCTTCTCAGACATTTACTTTTCATTCTTTATAGTAATACAAAGAAATATGCCAGACATCTGTGAAAACACTATGGCTTCTTTTCTCCTCTATTTTTAGTTTAATATTGTAAATGAAACTAGTTCTGATATTATGCCTGTAGTAGTTCCATCGTATTTTAGTTTGTCTTTATGTGTATGCATTCTCTGAATTTCAAATTTGAATAATGAAAAGGAGGGAAAAACCCCAAACCAAAAAACCCAAATTTATTCAGAAGCCGGTAATTCAATTGATTAAAATCTTTCCTTACCAATTAAAATGAGCCGTTAGCTCTTAAACTGCTGGAAATTCCATCTGATTAAGCCATTCTAATTTAATGGCCTAAACAAAATTGGCAAGTAACGCCTAGCCAAGGCTCTAGAACCTTCACAATTCACAAAACTATCTTTTTTGTCATGGTTATTCCAACATTATTCCAACATTTTGCTAATACATTATAGGAAACACAAAAGGGAGGGCCATAATTGCAAATTCCATGCAGTTTTTTATGAGTTTATATAATTAATATTACAATTACATAGTTAGGCTGGGCTGAATACAGGGAAGGAATCCATAGTGGATAGCAGCTTCCTCAGCGCTTATAAAACAGACTTCCCTTTCTATGTTAATTATGGGAAACATCAGATTTGGTGAAAATAAACAGAGGATTTTTCTTCAATGATAGAAATAGAGATTCAACAAGAGTAATAGCGATCAGCCAGATACCTATTTTTCTCCTTTTCCATGGTCGTACAATTTAGCAGTAGGCCCTAGAGGCAGTATGGCAAGGGTGTTACTGTTTTGGTACCTTTTCTATTCTCAAGCTTAAGCAGGGTATTTACAACTACCGCAGGATTCAGATTCTGCAGAAACAAGACGATTTGACGTGTCAAGTTTTTGTATCGTTTTTGAAGGGATGGTGCTGGTATTGGAAGAGGCAAAAAATTAAATGGCTGAGCATCAAGAAAGTCCTCATCTTTATATCTTCTAAATAAATTGAATTCCTCACCATGACCTTCATTGAGCATAGCCTGCTCAGATCCTCCCATGCTCAAGAGCCTACATGAGTGTCAAGTTTCCGAAAGATGCCCTAATTAATGAGGACAGTACAGATTTACCCATTGATTATTTTTTACCCAGTCGAGGATGTGGATCCTTAGATTTCCTCTATATCCAATCACTAGAAAGCAACATGGCTGTAAGAAATGAAATGGCGGCAAGACTCTAGGAATACAAAGTAGTGGTAAGAAATTAGCATTTGCGCCAGAACAGAAGAGAACTCCAAATGCTCAGAGGCAAAGTGTTCATGACACAGAATCATGATCAGATCTGATATCTCTTTAAAACTCCAAACATTAAAACACTTTTATTGGGGGTTTTCAAGGAAGAAAACCCGCTATTGTGGAAAGAAATTTCAACACATCTTCCCACCATAATTGGCCCAAAGATGTTGATCATGTGAGTGACATAAGCTCAAGAAAATCTTTTGGGAGATCAGTCCTGGCTTCCCTGCATCATTTTTATTTTGATCCTTTGAGGAAAGAATAAAGGAAGGTCCCAATGAATAAAAATAGCCTTTTCATGACGCGAAGTAGGGCTGCAACTGGAATCTAATCCAAATGAGACATGTTTTCTTTATACTGTAAGCCTAAATTAAATCATCTAAATCACGCTTATGAAGGAAGAAAGTCTTAGTGACTGTGCCCTACTGAAATAAGCGGTTTGGCAGAGGCTGCTTGGATTCTCTATCTCTGTCATCCAAAAAATCTTGGGTGGACAGTAATGTTGAAAAGTTGCAGGGTCTTGACATGAGCTGAGAAAGGCAAAATTCAGCTTGCCCTGCTGAATCCAGAGTGCCCTTATCAACCCCTGGATATGCCAGCAATGCCACTGCTACTAGCAGTAAGCCTCTCTGGGCTTCAAGAATGGAAAATATGAGAGGGAGTGGCGCTGAAATTTGCAAAGATCTGTCGTTCCCAGCAGAAGAAATTTCGCGCAGAAAAGAGAGAAGTGAATCTACAAGGAAAGAATGAATCATTCTCCCAAGGGGTGTGAGCCAGGCAGAGTGTGATTGGTGCCATTTGAGGGTACCCCTCGCTGGAAGTGCCCCCACCCAAAACTGATGCCTCATCATGTTCCAATTGTCCTTATATAACTTAGCTGTGGGCGGTTACACAACCTCACAGGAGACTCAACAGAGGCGAAACCATTCAAGATTTCCAGCCAAAGATACGTCTCCCTTTCCTGCGTGTGCCTTTGTTTACCAGATTCAATCAGGAAAGCTGAATTCTTTATATATCATCTGCCACTTGAAGTCCACGGCTTCCACATCCCTTTCCTGGCCTGCGTGCCATTTCAACCTGAACACACTTTTCACCGTATCCCGGTTCTTCGCCTTCCTATATCCCACCATGCTGAATATCAAGGCTGGAGAAGTGAGCTATTATTATGGAGGAAAGTGCTCTTTCCTGAAAGAGAACCAGCATAGTACAGAATTAAGGCTATCCCAGTCAGCGGAGTGAGAGTCACCACCACCATTATCCCTGCCAACTTTTGCCATTGACTTGAAAAGAAATATTGTATTATGCCTACAGAGATTTCTTCCTCAAGAGAAATTTCCTGAAGGATCTTTAACTCTGTCTGCCTATTCTGGATAGGCACCTCTTGGTTACCAAAGTCAAGAAACCAGAGAATTCATCCTAAAAATCTTTTTCAGCCCAGTTATTGCGACTTGGCATTGTGGGGTGAAACAAATGTATGCCTGTGCCTAACTGTGAAAGTAGCAGCACTTGCTACCAGCTAGGACTTCGGTTAGAATCGAAAGAGCAAGAATCCAGTTTAACCAACTTTTTGTTCCTTCTGCTGACTCTACCCTGGAGAGGGTGTTAGGCATTGATTTCAACTGCAGCAACCTAAACCAGAGGTGAGTTTCCTGCCGTGCCAGCCAGCCTTGCTTTGGACCCCATCTAACTTCTCTTGAATCCCGCTCTCTGCCTGCCATAAAACTAGTCGCTCCTGATTTATCTTCACACAAGTGAATGATTGATGACCCAAGGCCCCTCCGTTATGAAATCAAACATCAGCCAGGGATGTTTTGCCACCCTGGGAGAACTTCTAAAGTACATTCCAATCCATGCTGCAAAACCACACTTGCAGCCAAGGAGCCAGGTTGCAAAACACAAATTTTTAAAAAGTACACATACAAAAAAAGTTATCGCTTACCTAGCACTCAGGACATGCTGTGCAGAAAGGACTCAGCCCAGAGGCCTCTTGCTGTATAATTCCACCTTGAAAGAGAGAAGGAAAGAAAGGGCAAGGAAAGAGAGCGTGCGTGTGTGGTGTTTGTGTCCAGCTGCCAAGAATCTGAGCTGGGAACTTACCACGTAAAGTCACTGACTTTTAGTCAAACAAGGGAAATCCTTTTTAAAACCTTGGCCCCGCCCAGGCCAGTAATTATGAGGCAGACAGACGGAGGAGGGGCCTCCTTACTGTAATGCGTGGAGTCAGAATGACACCCTTTCATGTCTGCAAACTGCAGACAACCTTCCCGCTCCTGAGTATTTGGGGCTGAGGCAGTCGGTATTTAGGGAGTCAACATGATTATGGGTTACAAGGGGAGGGGGAGTCAAGGTTATTCTGGGACAAAAGAAAACTTGCTCAGCTCCAGAGTGGATTCCTCAACACGTTTTGTCTGGAGCTGGATTCTCATCCGGTTTGCTATGCTGTAGAGGTTTTTTTATTTAGGGCTGGTTCGGTTTTTGTTTTTTTGAAACTTAGAAATGGAGATTTTTGTTCTTGGATGGAATGTTATTTTTATAGCTTTCCTTTCAGGCCCAGCAAGTCTTAAGAAAGAGGAAATGTACACTTGGCCTTCAGGCTCTTGGAAGTACTTTGCATACCACAAGTGTCCTGCTTTATAAAAGTTGCTGCCCAGCGCTTTAAAAACTCCAAATTTCAGAAGGAGATACAGTTCCATTGGAAAACTCGGTCACCAGAAGTAGTTTGAATACATTGTCCATACATACCTTCCTCTGCCTCGCTTAGTTCGTTACAGTTGTTTGTTTTCTGTTAATGGGAACTTTTGGTTAAACAAAATCTTCAATCTAAACCAGTTGTTGACCAACATCTCAGTATGGTTTGACTGGGAGAGCTGAATTCAGACAAGGGATGCTTTTCCTGCTGGATCAACAGAAGGTTGCCCTCCAATCTTTTATTGCTTCAGAATGAACAAACCCAACCAGGCTTTTAGAGGTGTTTTAATACTTCTGCCTTTTTCAAGTGCATGTTTTCTGGGCATTAATCGCATAGTGAGATCTGGCACTAATTATGGGCACAGCCCTACCTCTGATTCATTTCAAATGAGGTTCATGCAAAACCCGTTCTCGCTGGATTATGTATGCCTTTGATACTCGTTTTATCACTTCAGAAAATCTATTGGTTAAAATGAATGATCCTGGCATGAAGTTTCTGGCTCCTACTTTCTTGCTGAAAATATTTTGAGATCTTTCAGGTTTCATAAGTCAGATCTGAATATTTCTTGGCAACAGTCTCAGAGAAAAAATTATGATATTTATTCTGAAGTACCGATATCAGTTGAACATCTCAAGATAGATTTGAAAAACTGGACTCAAAAGCACAAATGTAAAATCTTGACCTGACTCTGTGACAATCCACCTGCTATTTTTATATTTCAGTTCTTCTGGGTCAGTCTAACCAGCTTGACACATAACAAAATTCTTGTAGCAAAGTTTGGAAAGTCTTAATTGAAAGGCCAAGAATTTCTTGCAGCTTATTTTCTGCAGTTCCCAAGATTCTTTTTAAGGCAAGCTGTGATACTAAGTTAGTAGTGGTTGTGGTATGATGTGACTTACTGTAAAACATAACATTTTGAGTATATTGCAAACCCTGTATTTTCTCCATATTCTTACCTATTCCTTCCTACAGTTAAGTACCACACCTGAAATGTGTCTGAATATCTTAAAAAGTTTATGTTTGAAAATGGATGCAAAATATAACATATACAGATACATACTCCATCATTGCCACATAGCATTTCTGATTTCTTTGTGGACTCTCTATGGAGATAAAATGGTAGGAAAGCCTCTATCAAAGACTGAACCAAGTCTGGAGGCTTTGCCACTTTATAGTGACTTCCTTTCCATGTAGTTTTAATACCAGGGTTGCCAGTGCTGGGTTTTTAAATGAAGATCTGAGTTTTTCAATCCCTGAGTTTCTAGCTTTTTCTATAAATTATATTGTATATATTAAATAGATAAACATAATTTAGTTTAAAACCAATTTGTTGTGTTTTTTGTTATCTGTGGTTTTTATGTAGAATCTGTATATATATATATATTTGAACATGAAATCTTTTTTTTTTTTTTTTTTTTTGGAAAACCCATTGACAGCCCTACCCAATGCAGTACACAGCCTCAAGGTTACAGGCAATTGTTATCTAGTCCAGTAGTATAGTCATTTTTTTAAATGAACCACATCTGGCTTGTGAAGACCAGGGACCTACAAATGGGACAGATCAATTTCATCTTTATATGACGTGCTTTATTTTTTCACTTCCCCTCCCAACTTGTGGGGGTCTTGGAAAGTTACAAAGCAACATGCATGTCTTGGACGGCTTAATGCTGAAAGGATAATTTATCTGCTTTGAAGATATTTTTCCTTAAGGAGAACTCTGCTTCTGGCACTAAACGTCTGGTAACCAGCTGGCACTAACCAGGCTCTGAAAACAGGCCTTCAAAGGTAGTTCTCCACTCAATCTTCATCCTGCCCATATAAAGCACTGAAGCCAACCTACTATCCCCAAACAAGATGGGTTAAGATCCAGAATCCCCATTCCTTCCTGCAGCTCAACCACCCTTACCTGCTCCTCCACAGGTGGGCATTTAGAATGACAAAGTTGTTCATGCCAGCCAATAATCCTATTGGTGGAGCATTTTGGGTTTGTGTTTCCATTCCACAAAAGCCTTATTTTTTCTCATTGAATCACAAGGAAAGGAAATTCCAATTTTAAAAAAAAGCAAACATTTTTTTAAAATGGCTGTAAGTTGTAGTACTATAGTAAATCTAGAATGGGAAAATACTCATATTGGTTATGGTGTTTTCCAGAATGACCTCTTTTCTCATTACACATGAACATATAGTACATTATACAAGTAAGAAATGAAAAAGCTTTGATGGTAATATATGCAGAAATGCTCTATTTACGATAATGACACATTTGAGATGTCATACAGGAGATTGCTACAAGGTTGATGCTACACATTCCATAATACCTACAAAAATATACGGTGTACTACTTCATAATAGTTATAATTCTGCACAGATTTATGGCAAACATTCCCACCATCCCCATGATTGCTGTGTTGGTTGAGGAAAGTGGAAGTTATAGTACCATATGCCTGGAGATTGCCAAATTGGATTAGGAGAACCTGTTCTATTACATGTGAATCTGTACCCATTTGTCCTCCTCAACTATCTTTACACAAAGGTTCTGCACCCATTCAAAATCATTTCTGCTTTGTATGATTTATTTATTTTTCATTCTGAGCATGTTTATCTGAAGTAGGAGCAAACTGTTTTTTCCACTGGAACCTTCACAGCTCTACATAGCTTTGGGGAAGGGCTGGCTTAAGGCTAAGGCTAAGTAGGCTCTGCCCTAAGGGCACCAACCTTTAGGAGGTATTAATATCCAAAATACTTCCAAAAACCACAATGAAAAAGTGAAAATCAGCAACACCACACTCCATGAGGCAACACACCTGCTTGAGGCTTAAAAAAATAATTTTGCAGAATTGTTGACATATGATAACAAGGGGCGCTTATGTGTAAACTGGGTGAAAATGCCCAAGAAAAGATAAAAATTGTCCAGTGCTGAAAATGATATACAGCTAAAAAACTTGAAGAAAAAAAAGCACCAGTTTGTGAAGTTTATTGGTTAAAGAATTGGGAGGGTAAGTAAAGAGATTAGGAAATGCACAAATATTGACCAGGAAGGGAAAGTGCTAAAGACATACAATATGCAAAAACAAGGGAGGAAGGCTTAGCTCTTCCCTACTTGAATGCTGCTTTTGATCCTATTTAGACTGTGCCCCAGCATTATTCTCTTTGGACATGGGGAAGTGGGGAAAGCTATAGAAATAAAAACAGCTTGCCGGTGATTTCTCTCAAGGATCAAAGTGAAGGACTGGACCTAGACTTGCCATTACCAAGAAATGTTCTTGTCTTTTCAAATGAACAGCAGCCTTTATGTGGATCGGTAGGAATGATTCTCCTGCCTTCATCCATCCCTATGATCTCATTCCCAGTGGCTTCCCTAAAAAATAAAGGCCACAGTGGCTGAACTCTCATCCCTCCATTGTCCAATTGTGTCCTTTCCCAGCATAGAATCGCAAACCCAGGAATTCCTTCCTCTGTGTGTTTTTGTCAGGCCAATGGTCCCCGGCTTGCGTCAACTCTGACTGAGCTCAGATTTCCTTCATTGCGATAAGCGGGCTGTGCACACACAGAGAGGATACACACCCCCTCCCCATGGCAACGCTACACACACAGACATTAAACAGTGTTTTACTTCGGAAGTCAGCAAAGCCACGGGACGTCACTGTGGTTGCTGCAGTTATGCGAAGCCTATAATATAACACTTAATTCAGGACAGGTTCCCTGGTGGGGAGTGGCAAAGCTATTTTGTTTTCTCCCTACTAACTACAAATCTCTGTAATTTGAGCAACCTTTCTGGCTGCTGTCTCCCCCTCTGCTCCAAGTCCCTGAATGGCAGGGTTTTTTTTGTCCTTTCCTTAGCAACGGTGTTATTGATTGTGGGGTATTCCCTGTCCCTTTTTTTCCATCCCTCCCAGGAGAGATGGTGTAATTTTAATTCTTTGAATTTTCATGGGAACCTCACACAACTTGACAACTCCTCAACTAGTCCCCTGTCATTTTTTCCCATTCTCCCCACCTCCATCCTGGTGCTCCGAGTTCAGTTCTTTGATTTTATGTTCAGGGAAACTTCTCACGAGGATGATGGCTCCTATCAAAATCCATCCCCATTGTGAAGAGCTTTGCTTTGGAGTGTAGGAGAAGCAGTGAAGTTTTAGCAGACAGGGTAATTCTCGTTTAGCAACCACAATTGGAAGTAGCAACTCAGTTGTTAAGTGAGACAGTCTCTGAGGGGGGAATGAAATGGAAGCAGAGCTAGGTGGCATTAGTGTCATTTGTTCCCATTTCCATGCACTGAAACTCATTTATAGATTTGTATCTAGCAAATGAGAATAAGAATTGGTGCATGTGATGATTAATTTTCCTCCAGATATGTCAGGATGAAAGCTTTGTAAATTCCCATACATCATGAGAATCCTAGTTTCTGAGTATCTTGGAAATGATTGAACTGGGAAAAGTTTATCTGCTATAGCTTATCTCACAATG